CATTATATTTTCCTTTACTACATATTTTTTTTTCATCAATTACAATGAGAATAATCCATGCAGAGTGTGCAAACAAAAGTCATGAGTTGAAAAACGCTGACTCCACGAGATTAAATATTAGAGCCTAACACAAAGCGCAGCTGCGGCGCATTGGCGCCTACAAACCTAACGGGGATACTTCACGCATTGCGCAATGCGTGAAGTATTCCCGTTAGGTTTGCAGGCGCCAATGCGCGTTTCGCGCTGGCTGCCCGCCCGCCGCGCCGCGCCGCAGCGTACCACGGCGCTTGAAGCAACTATTTCACACCAGAGGTATTGCACAGTATCATATAAAATTGAAGGCGCTCCAACATGTTAGGAATGGAAGGCATCCTTCAAAAGTTCGGAACTTTCCTCGCAAAATAAATCAAGATACTACGGCCCAAAAAGAGAGCGGTAGTCCAAAAACTCACTAAATCCTAGCATCCGTAATTGGTAACGTTTAGCATACACTTTATCGTCAGGCTGTTGCCTAATCGCCATCGGCTATAAAAGACTATAAGAAATTGTGTTGCCGGCTATAGAAGCTATTGGAAATCTTACAGCCGGCTGTAGGTCTATGGTATTTTGGAACACAGATTCTACTACCAATTTTTACCAGGGCTAAGAATCAATAGTCAAATCGCGAATTCCTCACACATGCAACATCTCCATCGCGATGTATTGATTGTTATGCCATTTAAACCTATAGAAAAGGATCGATAAATAGGGCCATAATCAAGCCACATCAGCTATTGCGAAAATTAACTGGGAAATTTAATTTTTCACAAGAGATCGCTTAAGAGGATTCGTTCGAAAATGTTAAGGAATTTGCCTCGTGCTTTGCAAAAAATTCGCTCAAAAATCCGCACAACTATTCTCATGTAAGGAAGTAAATTCCCCAATTAAGTTATGCAACAGCTGATGTGGCTTGGTTCCTTTCTGCTTAACGCGGTCCATTTTATCAAGGACAATATATTTTAGAAACATCGCATTGGAATCTTCCCCACAGTGTCCCTAACACGTAATCTCGGAGGTCAGTGTTTTAAGCACTTAGATGGGCAAAGTGCAAAACTGCGTCTATCCATCGCAGAGTTTTAAAATTTTCGCTTTTAATTTATTTTGTCGGATAAGGACAGGCCAATATTATAGTTTAAAATTTCTTCAGAATATTCTACCAACAGAGGGTAAAAATGAAGATAGTTTTCAGAAGTTACGTTGACCCGGTTTCCAAAGGAAAAACAATGTAATACGAAAAGTCTGTGAAATCGAATACGGAGATACGTAGTTTCGCATTTTGGCCACCGACATTCAAAACAAGAGAAACCGTCGTGTGCCCTTCCACGAAGGATAACGTTAATTATCGGCCTTTCAAACGCAGCTTCTGTTTCAATATGATACATAGACGGCCGTTTTTTTTTTTTTAATACTTTCAATTATTTTGTCCTGAAGCTACGAGCTGCAACAATTTAATGTTGCTGAGTTTGTGCAAAACCTATGTCGGCAATGCATCAACTGAAAGCAGATTAATAAACGGAATACACAGATGATTTTTTCCTTCAATTGCCATTTTTGTCGCACAAATAGATCCCGCGTAATATTTCAGGTTTTTCTGTATATTAGCTGAAAAAAGTCTCACAATCGCAGCAAAATCGTGATACAGTAAGTTTCTTCTTGCGCAATGTTGTCGGATTATTCAAAGCCACGCCGTGATATTACGGGTAAGCCTAAGGTGAAACATACTTTCTATCAGACTTGGATGAACTTTGGAAGAAGATCAAATCAATTTTATTGCTGGGATTTTTCAAAGAATGTTTCGTAAGCAACAAAAAATTGTTGCACAGTTTTTCGATTAAGGTCCGGTTGCCGAAGAAGGTCCTTGATTGGGTTTCTCCTGGGAGAAGGCGCAGAGGGCGCCCAATGAGAGGTTGTAGGGAGGGGATTGAAGCAGAAATGTTAATGTGCTCAATTTCCCAAGGTTTGTGGTTCGACAGAGAGCAGTGGAGGTCAGGAGTCGTAGAGCGCGAGGGAGTGCTATACAGCGACCTGTATGTATGAACTTTGGAACTGGAATAACTTTTTTAATCGAAAAACTGTGCAACAATTTTTTTTCACTCTGATTACGAAACATTCTCTGAAAAATCTCAGCAATAAAATTGATTTGGTCTCATGTAAAAATTATGGGAATGTACATTCTGGAGCACGGTGACCAACAGACGTGATTTTCTAGTATTACCATCGAAACGCTACGCTGGACTCTCCAGAGTAAATTAGAAGTCGTATTAAGATCCATTTTAATGCAGTCTCTCAATATAAGTATTAGTAGGGTTGCTTTGGCTCAATCATCGAATGTTCATCGTATAAATGTGCTTACATTTCAGTCACAAAGCCGCAAGCTGGAAATTGCGATCGCTATGGCAGCTTAATTACTTTTTCACAAGAATGCGTCGTCAAATTCAAAGGACCGAAGCGGTTATGCATATTGCGTCACTTTTGCAAGGTGGAATGAATTGAATTAAAGTTTTAAGACCTCCAGGAGGGATAGTTTTCATCATCGCAATTTTAAACGCCCCTTTCAGCTACACGATATTGGCTAATTTAATTAATATCTCATCATTTAACAAAACATGAATATAAAAAGTTGATGGTTCAATTATTTCTAAGCGCTGTTTAAAAATCTAACGGGTTTCTCATTTTATTTTCCTCCTCTAAGGATCTAAATTATTAGGGAGTAAATTATTTTTTTGAAAGTGGCGAAACTTCATGGCTCTATTATGTATTGGAGACGGTTTATTTATTTAACAGCTACGGCAATCGTTAGTAGGCCGGGTTTGAGGCATGAAATTGACATGGTATTTTGGGATGATAAAAATAAGATGACATTTTTTATGACATCGCTAACTAGGTGTATTTTTTGGATTTAATTATGCACTACTAAAATATGACATCTTGCAGGAAACAGAAAATCTTTCAGACATAAATATTTTTATAAGACTTTTGGTCTTGAAAAGTTAAAAAATGCGTGTTTCGGTTTGTTTTATCATTATTTTAACTGTTATTATATCACGCAAAATTCGCTTCACAGATTATTAAATAAGTCTGATCGAAAAAGAGGTTCATTTTGGTTCAAAGAAACGATCCCTCAAGCACAAGGGGCTACATTTCGGAAACCCTCTAGAGCCAAAACTATCATCTGTTCAGGCTTCTCACCTTTCGACTGTAGTGTGCGCCGGTGCCCAAGTGACTAAATTCGTCACTTTTTCTACCGGCGCGCCGACATAAACAAATGAGTTTGCCGGAGTTTTAATTAAAAATCCTCCACAAGGGTGTTTTGATCCGTTTGCGGTGCAATTGAATTGAAGCGCTGCAAACGACCGCGCTCATTCTCCGCCCCCGGCGGAGGGCACTAACTCTGCCGTGATAGCGAAAAGAGCATTAAGTGCATTTCTCTATGAGCCATGGTTAGCACATGTTTTAATGTGTCTCGAGGCTCATCCGAGAATGCACTTATACTGCTCTCTTCACCATAACGGCAGAACTGCTGATGACTGGGTAAACACTAAACATTGCGCCGCAACTCAGATTGTATTGATAACCTATTGTGCACAGCTTTGATGGGGTTCCCTTGTTCCGGATTTGATTGCGGATCCAGGTCAATAGTGGCATCACGGATCGTTTTGACGTGCGTTGAAATGAGTGCATACACACCCGTCGACGTAGGCAGATAATTATCGTGGGGGTGTGAATCAGACTTTCATGGGATAGACAAGAGACAGGGCTAGAAATTGGAGTTTACTTTTTTATACGCTGATGAAAATATTTGTGTTCTTGGGTTACTTTTGATTAACCCTCTATGGCATAGCGTTCCAAATTCGTAACAAGGTAATTTTGGGGTTTTTAAACATCCCCTTGCCTCTTGCCCCTCAGGCATGAGTTTGCAAAATTTCGTTAGTTTTTTCTACCAAAGCGTTACAAAAAGGGAGGAGGAGTCAAAAATATAAAAATATATATATTTTAGACCGCGTTTAGCAGAAAGGAACCAAGTCACATCAGCTATTGCCAAATTTAACTGGGCAATTCACTTTTTTCCATGAAAACAGTTGTGCAGATTTTTGCGCTTTCAGTGAATTTCCTGCATAGTGCAAAGCGAATACCTTACAATTTTTATAGGAATCCGCACCAAAGTGCTGTTTTAAAAAATTAAAATGCCCAGTTAAATTTTGCAACAGCTATTGTGGCTTGGTTCCCTCTGCTAAACGCGTTCCAAATTAAATCTCGCTTTTTTTGATAGTTTTGACTCCCTCTCCCTTCTCGTAACGCCTCGGTAACGGAGGTCCCTATCTTATAACACGTAAAAAAAATCGTGTAACGCTCTCTTGGACCCCCTTTCTTCTGGAGCGTTACGTAATTTGGACGTATTTATGCTAAAAGAACCATGTGCATAGGGATTGCATGTGACATGTTCCTTTTAGCATAGATACGTCCATTTATGAACGCTCTCTAAGGTTCTCTGCCGTGCTAAAACGCCGTATGAACATTCGAGAGTTGCCAAATTCCCGTCAATAAAAGTTTATTTTTTGAGAAAATATGTAAATATTTTTTCCTTGAAATTTTCAGGGGCTTTAGGTGAAATTTCTAACTAAATTATCTGAAAAAGTGAGAGGAAAATATTCATAAATTTACCAGGGAATTCGCGTTTAGTGAAAAGAAATTTGGCAACGCGTGGAGGTTCATACGGCGTTCTTCCTTAGCATGGCAGCTCTAGACTCCTGGCGGGAAATAAGAGGATAGAAGATCATGGTGCCGAATCCCCGCGAAGAGCGCGTGTGAGGAGGAAGGGACAGGGCTTGGAAGGGAGGGGGGGGGGGTTGCCCTTGAATTTGAGTCGTAAGCCGTAAGCCCCTGGGGGCGCATGCGTGGGGCGCCCGGCGAAAGTCTCAGCACTTTACTCGCCGCAATTAAAATGACGCTCAGTTGTAACGACACCGTCCCGCTCGCCACGCGTTGTCCCTGCGGTGCGCTCGCGTCCGCGCCCCACGGAAATTCTTACGCGAAAATTTCCGTGAAATTTTTCGAAATTTTCACACGGGATAGTTCCCGCGCGCAGTGAGTGTTGTGCACGAATTTTCAAAATTTCGGCAAATTTGAAAAAAAATCGGCCATAGTATAAGGTAATCGCGTCGCCAGCGATCGAGTGCCATTTGGACGGTTCCGCGTTTGTTTCAGTTTTCTGTTTGATTTTTCGAAAATACCCACTACTCGGTTAGTTTTGTGTGGCGTGAAGTTGGTGTTTATAATTACTATGGATGCGTTAAACAGGAAACCAGGATCCTAAAATTGGAATTTCAGTTATTTGATGGTAAGATTTGTCTGTGTACTTTTACTCATAGCCGACGATTTTTTTTTCATTCATTTGTGAACGTTCACGAGGAAAGGGACCTAGATCTGCGGTTGTAAAATTCTCAAAGAGACGATTTTAATCCAGTTGGAATCAAAATCCGATTTCAATATTTTGACCGAAAAATCTCTTAAAAGTTATACAGAATAATTTGCTAGCGGTTTAGTTCATTTCAGGGCCAGTTCAAAAAATGATATTGCTGATTTAATAATTTAATGGTTGAAAAGAGTGTTCAACATGCTCCAGTGTAATTTTACAATGAAAAATGCTAATTTTATCACCCCCCGTGGTTAAATTCGCTTTCCATTACTGTAAAATGTACTTTTGAAACATTTCGGACACATTTTTTGACAATTTAATTGTTAAATCGGCAATTCATTTTTTTCCAAATTGCTTAAGATTTGAAAAAAGCTCCTCATTTAACTACAGCTTTTGAACTGCAAACTTTGAAAACCCATAATTTTGGTTAAGTTTGACATTCGTGGCGTTTCTGGTTCCAAAATGTTCTTAAAAAACTTCGCTATGCTCTGGTACCAATAGCTAAATATTTAATTTTTATGGACCCAGATTCCTCTCCCTGTGGACGCGGTGACATTTATGTGGCATCGTATGAAAGTTTAAAATGCAATTTTATGAAGACTTTTTGGATGTCCAAAAGTTGTCGGATTGCTTTTGTGAACTCGTGAAGATAAACGATCATGTGTGTGAGTTGAACAAACAGGTTTGTTAGATTCTTAAACTGGACGTAGGTACAAATCGATTGGTTCAAGCCAATATCTGTGGTATTTTTTAGATTTAAAAGGTAATACAGCAGAAGGCAATTTCTTTACTTTGACATTTATTTTTTTTAAAGATGAAAATAATTGTTTTCAAAATATTACGGAGAATTACGAATCGATACCATGTTGGAATATGAAGACTCCATTATCGAGGGTGGTTTTAACTTTTGATTATTCAATGAGATTTTGGAAGAAAAATGTTTTTACAATGCAGCAAATCAGACTTCAAAGTGATCTGATAAAGTAGGTATTTCATCTCGATTCTCCGTGCAGGTATCTCCTTAGTCTTTGTAACCTGAAGTTTTTTCAAAGCTGTTAAGGCGTTTTCAAAGAATTTCCTTTAAATTAAAAATGGTCTACTTGGCATGCAGAGTTACAGATTACGAGGCATACAGTATGTTCCCTATTCAGAACTGTCAACTAGGCAAATTTTCACATTCAAAATGTTTTCTCTCGACTTTTAAATTTTCACATAAGAAATTATGCAGTTAGTTGAGCTTAAAGCAACTCCTATTTCATATTTTTTAAGCTATGATTTGCTTTCTTTTCTTTTCTAATTAAATTCACCTTAGTGGCACATTTAAAAATGACAGAACCTCGGTACCGTCATTTCTTTTCTTTTAGCATGCTGGGTTTTGAATCAAATTCAGATGAGAGATTCTCCCGTTAGCTCTATCGTTGAAGATCAAATTGAAAATATTAGACATTTCGGACGCATTATGAGCCTATTTGCACCTTTAAAGGGAAAACTTTTCCCGAAAGAGTCGTAATATAAAGGGGTAAAAGCTTACGAGAAAAAAAAATAGCTTTACGCTAGAGTGCGAACATTTCCAATATAAAGCGTCGTGCTTTTCAAACAAAGTGAGATCTCAAACTAAGTTTACTAGAAAGAGACCTGCATCCTCAAAAAAAAGTGAGTCGTGAGTGGATTTTAGCTCGACAAGTGACTTACTTCCGTTTACCAAAGAATCGCAATTCATGGTAAACATTAATATCGGAAGCATACCCTTCAATTTTATTGTTTACATCGACTCCCATGAAAAAAGAATGCTTTGAATCCTTTTCCCTCTGGTCTAAGGAAACAGCACCCAGAGCGAGATTCAGGGTAGGGCGAGCCGTGCGGTTGCGGTTGCGCCGGAGGCGCCCCTTTTATCAGCAGGAAACACTAAAGAGCACTACTAAGGGCTTACCGGTTCCTTCTTTACTCAATATGAATGCACTAAAATGTTTATGTTATTGTTGCTATTTCATCTGACTGAAAAGTAGCCTTTGTGGAGCCTTCCCTCCTGTTTCCTTCTCCCATAAAGGATGCTTCTTTTTGGAAAGAATACAATTAGGGAGTATGACCCAACGCAGTCATCGGTCATAAACCTTGGCTTTGATCTCTGAGCTGGAATGTATATCTGACCTAAAATAGCTTGAAATAGCAATACAAGTTTTTAACTTCTCCGAGGGAAAATTCTAATTTTAAAGAAGGTCTAAGGCAGGAAAGTAGAAGTGCATTTTTTTCAAAAAAAATTATACTATATTCATATTTTCCAAGGTGGAGAAATGGTGCTGGGTCTACACCATTTCGAGGGGAAACAAATTTCTTGGCTTTGTTTCCCCGCGAAATGGTGTGACCCAGCACCATTTCTCCACCTTGTTACATACAGTTCGAACCATTTCATAGTGTTTTTTTTTTCATTCATATTTTCCTATCCGGACTTTTACTGAAAATATTTTTGATGGTGGGTCCTTGCACACAACTCAAGCCCAATACTCAATAGAGTTAAAACCATAGGTATAGTTTGCATGCACCTAAAAAAATCCTGGAAAAATTGAATTTTCGAGTGGTAAGTGTGTAACTGAAGAGGTGAATGATGCTCGTAACGTCTGTACAGCCTGACGATGGTTTTAACTTTTTATGGTGAGGACTTTTAACATCCGAGAAACTCAAACAATAAAGAAATAAGCGAGATGATTCAATCCAATGATGAGTAAATTAAATGATCCAAGTCAATGATGAATCAACTCGAGCAATGATTCACGTGCTATTGTAATATGATCGCAACATTCGGCTCTCTTACAAAAATTTTACTTTTGTGGCCACAAACATCTTCTTTAAATATGAGCAGAGGTGAAAAAGTAAAAGAGGAGGGTGGATTCTCAGGTTTTGCATTTGATTGCGAAGTAAATAGGAACCCTGGATTCGAATGTCGTCGGAGACTCCATGCTTTGGGGTGCACTGAAAAAATGATGTGAAAGATTTAATGTCGGAGGCGGAAAAATTGAAGGATTTGCGGCTTTTATAATAGCAAGGTCTGGATGCAACTATTCGTGCTCTCGGGATTTCTGTGTTGCATCCACGGAAAATTGCAGGCGCTCTGGATTTCTTAAGCACAACATAAATGGCAGCGGTCGTCAGTTCCCAAGGGTTTTCTACGTTGCATTTACAATCGTGTTTACCACACTGGAAAAAAAGTAGCTTGGGTCTAGAGTCCAGACTCTCAAGAACATCGACAAGAAAAATTAATCTTGATTCAATCAGAATCTGCTAGCTTAAATCAAGAACCAAGCCTCTTAATTTAAGCGGATTTCGTTTTGATTCAAGCAAAAATCCGATTGAATCAAGAGTATTTTTTCTTTTCAATGTTTTCAAAAGTCTGGACTCTAGATCCAATGTGTTTTTCTTTCCCCCAGTGTGAATCTTAAAATTAGTAACGCTAAAAGTCGGATTTTGTTTTGTTTTGTTGCTTCCCAACAACGCGCGCGTAGCGCAGGTCTGAACCCTCTGAAGGAAAACACGAAAAGAAGGAAATAATGATCCGTCCTATCATTCTCTATCCCTCGAAGGGACGTTCAGAGATGATTTTTTTTTTATGAAAAATTGCAACCTTGCGCGAATATTTCATCGCAAAATTTCGAGAAATTTGCGCTAAGCCAATTCCAGACTTACAAACTGAGAATACTAAACTGGGAATACTGCTTCCGGTCGCAGGTACAAAAATTCTATTCGTAATGAGCACTTGTGTTTTTCAGGTCAGGCTACCGAAATTTCCGGACATAAGAACCGGATTCCGATTGGCTAAGCCAAAGTTCGGTTCCTGTGACCAAAAACTTTGGTTACCTGAACTGGAAAAGCTCGGTGCCCGATATGAATCAAACTTTTGTCTCTCTCCGTGTGCGTATCGTAGTTCCGAACTCTCACTTTCTACCTCAATAACTCACTTGTAACGCCAATTCAAACCACCTTCCCTACAGCACACTATGGTCTGGGGGCGCCGAATTGTGGCCATAAATCAGGAAATGATCAGAATATCATGAAATTTGGTGTACCTATGTTTTTTGGGTCGCTGAATTCAAATTTGACCTTAGTTTTACAAAATTCTTAAATCCAAGATGGCGGCAGGCCCTTGAAACCAAAAAATTAGAAGAAAAGCCAAAATATGATTAGAATACCAAATTGAATGTCAGTTTTATGTTTTGAAGGTTGTCTCACTATAATATGAAATCTATTTTTCAATGATCAAGAGGTTATCAGGGCAGAAGCCCCAAAAATACGTATTTAATCCAGAAAAATAAGAGGAGAAGAAATGATTGAAATTGAATCAAGTCAGTACTATGTTTTTCGGTCTATTGATCCTGACTGGAGCGTAAGTTAAAAAAATTGCACATTCAATATGGTGATATTCGTGTTAGCAAGACATATGGCA